CCCTAGCTCTGAATAGCATTCATTTTCGCACCAGATTATGAAGAGACTTTTGATTAATAGATCTAACCAGGTGTTGCCCCCGTTAATTATCCAAATGCTCGCTTCATTGATGCCATACGTGTCACCAATGGAATGGGATGCAGTGGCAGAGTATTCGGCATGAAGCTATGGACTGCGGACATGCGTTTTTATACTTAAGCAGAAGAGCGAAGAGTCGTTCTTAGACTGGTTCACCATCAATCGTGAAGTGCGCCAAGGAGAGGTCCTTTAACCTCTATTACTCAACATGGCAGTAGTTTATGTGATGCGGAGGATCGCCGTCCCCAACATGAGCGATTCAACCGGAGATACCTAGCAGTACTCATAAAAGATCTTGAGTACGCTAACAACATTGTTCTGTTGAACGACTCCGCTAATGGCTTACGGACACTAACTCGACAAGTGCGTACGGTGGCCTCAACGGTAGGCTTAGGAGTTAACGCAACCAAAACAAAGATTGTTGCTAGCACTCTACTCGACTAACGGCCCAAAGATTCAATGGGGTGGAACGACCATCGAGGAAGTCAAATATCTCAGCTCTGTATTAGCAAGAAATGGAGATGTGATATAGAAGTAGAGCGGCGCTTAGTGCTTGTATCTGCAAACTTCGAGTGACTTTTTAAAATGTGGCATGACCAATCTATTCGGACACTAAAAAAGGTTAACACAATGAAAACCTCCGTCTTCTCAGTTCTGATCTACAGCCTTGAAACATCAACCCTTTTAAAGCGCCAGCGCTATCTGCGGAACATTTTGAAAGTACGGTGGTTACATCGAATAAAAATGAAAAGGTCTTGGAGACGGCTGATCTGACAATGCTGTCTGAAGAAATCAGGGACCAGTGTCTGTCATGGCTTGACAGACCTTCTGGAGAGACAAGGGATTCTTATCCAAAACCATTCTTCTCTGGGAAGTAAAAAATGACCACAGGCGCGTCGGAGACCATTGTCGCACCCTGAAGCAGCTGATAGAAGTGAATTTTCTTGCAACGAGGAACATCACTTTTGCCGCAGCAGCCAACATCATTCTGAGAAGCCAAAGCGAGACTAAAATGTGAATACCTGGTCCTTGACCCTATACCCCAAATGAAGATGGCAACAACAATGACGTTAAGCTGTCTGTATGTCTTACGTTCATGAATTCTGCCTCAATAATGCACATAATAGCTTATTTTATAAACTTCCAATGATATATTTAGAAAGAAAAATCTCCAGTATTATCCAATTTTTATAGTACACCCTAAACCTACCTGTTATTAAGTATTTCCTGGCTTATTCTGAAACTGGGCGGTAAAATATAATAGAAATTGCGGATATGGATGTCTTCTGGCGGTTTGTCTAAGAGCTAGGGTGTAGAAGTTCACCATGTGACAATATCGACATGTAACAGCTGTGAAGAAGGTCTGGAAAAGATAGTAAATTTCCTCTTTCAGGCCTTTCCAACGTTGCATATTGATCCCGCGCATCGAGACATGTTCTTAACTGTATTTCTGATAAATTCTGGCGAAGTGCAGGAATTTTAGTGAACCGTATTGGAGTGAGTTTGAATACAGCAGACCGAAAATTCGTACTTCCAATAGTGCTTCTGCTTTCCATTTTTCACAAGATCAACCATTCAACCAATAGAAATTTGCTGTTCACTTTCAAATGATATCTGTTCAGCAGCTATATTGCAAGATGCCAGAACAGTTTTGTTTCTTTCTTGACTAATCGTTGCATTTTCTTATTCTGAAGTTTAACTTAACACCATAGTTTTAGTAAAAGACCAATTCTTTGACTATCCGGTAGGTAGGCGTACCTGCTGCAAGAGTTATGATGCACATCAATCATAATTGCTACATCGGGTTTATGTAGCTTGATTAATTCATAGGGTCATGATATTTTATACGATTCAGTAGTAGCGAGAATCCACTGAATCTTTTGTCAGTCAATTTCGAAGACCCCTCTTTTCAGGTCATGAGGCAGACGTATCAGACGGTGTCTACAACGTTCCTGATCCAGTGCCAGCGTTTGAGCTTCGGCAGAAAATAATCCGAGACTATGTGTGTAGAGTGTGTGGTTGCAGCTGCCTTAAGTTATTATTCTTGGCTGTTTCTGAGAACTTCGGCCGGCTGGTTGGACAAGCTGTAACGATCCCGTTTTCCTGTCTGCAAGCATTCCCAAGATGTGCTCAAACCATCGTAGCCGTGACTTCTCAGTCTGAAGAATCTTCTAATCTTAAAACTTATCTGATGACAATTTTGTAATGCCAAGAGGAGTTGCTGCTGAGTATTCCTGTCCGATGTGGCATATTTCTGAGTTAGACGAAATGACCATCATTTTGGAATGATTTAAACATCTTAGTTCCATAGTCTCTGTTCAGCACTCCTGCAGTTTTGAGTTTCACCAGCAAATAGGAAATGATACAGGCTTGTGTCAATAAGGGAAAGCTCCGCAGGAGAAAGGCGCCATGACTATAAACGTGAACGGAAGGACAGGAGGTTAGCATCCGTATTAATCGTCATGAAACCACAGTTAAGTCGTTAAACCACACGAATCATACTCCGAACAGAGATTTAAGATATAAAAAAGGTTTAAAATATTAAAACCTACGAAACTATGTTGACGCATATGTTGCTTCTTCAGTATTCCAGATGTCTGACAATGGAATAGTGTTAGAGTATAGTGATGCTACAAATAAAAAACGCTCATTACTCATTGCAGACTCTTTACTGACATTCAACAACGTCATTACGAATGTGCGCAAGCACTGTAATAATAATGGAATACACATTATGATTAGTATTACTTCTTTTTGCCAATTCCAAAACGTCAAGCGAATTTAAAGCATTGACAGAAACGTATAATCTAGGTAGAATCGGTACCGTCAAGGAACAAAAGAAACAATCATACTGATCATAAGTTGCGCGATTCTAAAATGGCCACTCATGACATGATTGCCTGATGAAGTGCATGAATGAGAGTTACATATGACGTCAGCATACAGTAAACATCTTTGATTTGCTTAGTGCCTTAGGCTAAGTTCATAGAACGCAACATCATAACTACTGTCATAATTTACGGAATAAAAATTTAAACACTACTACTGATGCAGTGCCCAAAAGCATTTAACTTAGTGTTCACTTGATTTTGCTTTATCACTAGTTGAACGGAGTCATGAAACTTGACCATTAAAAAATAATGCAGATAAACACTATTAACAATAAGACAGCAGTGGCCCAGGAACTTGGCAATCGCACGTAAACGGCAGAAGATCAGAGTAGAACCAAAGAAACGCGCTATGCGCACAGAAAGACAAGCAAGAAATACCTCATGTGTGAGTAATGAAAGAAAAGCAACAGCTACACTTAATATCGTAAAATTAAACATCAAGTTATACATTAATAAACTGAAAACTTTATACCTCATTCAGAAACAGACCCAAGGATGGAGCTTTTGGAATGTTGCACTGCAAAAGAATCCTATTTTCAAATCCAGTTCATGCATATTATACGCACCCTCTCAGGCAACCAAGCTTTTGACATAAAGGTTTCGTCCAGATGACCACGCATAACGGCGATACACAGACCTTTGACACCGAATCAAAGATGAAGGAATGGAAAAAAAGAACAGAGTGCTTACCAACCATTTTCCTGATCTGATGCAGCATGAAACTTTGCCCTTGGATTTCGATGTTCAAAAATTCGATGCCGTTCATTATGAAAGGTTCGGCACACTAGAAATATTCATAAAACGCGGAAACTTCACGAAGGCAAACTTTACAGTAGACTTCATGATGTACCTTTTGCAACTTTCATGACTGTAGGGCCTAAAAAACTAAGAAAATTTTATGCAGATCGTTTCCTTCAATAATATAATCAAAGAGTGGAAATCTTTCATGGTAGAAGAGACTTCAAAAAACAATAATAAACCGGAAGGCTTATTCACAAAAAATAAATGAACTAACCAATCATACGATTCTATGCCACCTCTCTGAATTTACACAGCTAAATCACACCATCCCGTTACTTTGAATGTCCAGGGAGCTGTTTAAGCAATAAATGACATTTTCAGTGCATGAATACAAAGCTGCCTTTCAAGACCAAACAAAAGGCTGTTTGGACGCCTTCCAAAATGCCACTATTCGTAGGCGTTTATACCTAAAAATTATCCGCGGTATTTTGCGGGTTAAGAAAAAATTTCTGTGACTTTCTATATACCTCATAACCAATCACAGGTTTAAAACTCTTCCCTCGTCCCATACTCGTTTCTCCGACTAAGTATGTATATGTGCATGCATTCAAATGAGTAAATATACAGGTGTATAAGCAATTACACAAATAAGAAAGAAGTAAATAAACAGAAAAGTAAGAAAGTGGATAAATTAACAGAAAATAATAAAACCACATAATTGAGCAACACAGTACGAACTACACTGTCCATGTTTATAAATGCGTGCATTTTTATACTTGCTTTTAATCATAAATAAATAAAAGTGCACATACGCAACTAAGAAAAACGGATGAACGTAACTATGACGCGCAATGCGGATGAAAGTAACTATAAAACATGTCAGGAAGTAAAATGTAAATAAGGTAGCAAATCAAGAAGTATAAAGTTACGAAAGTAGGAGATAAGAAAGTAAATATAAGTAAGCAAGGACGCAGGTAAATATGTAAGCAATCAAGCACAGGAATATGTAAGCATGCATATAAGTCAGTATGCATAGCGGTAAGTAAAAAAGTACATAAGAAGAAAAGTAAACAGCAAAGAAAATAAGTAGAAAAAACAGAAGTAATTTAGAATGACAGAATCTATCCCACGTTTACAACAGTTACCAGTTAACGCTTTTCACACTTACTTTTGATAAGAACGTAATTAGTAAGTATACAAGAAAGCAACTAACAGATATGTAGGAGGTATTAGGTAGATAAGCACAGTAAAGTAAGTACTTAGCAATCAAATAAGTAGGTATGTAAGTACGTAAGCGTTTTGTTTTTATGCATCACCATCTAAGGCTAGCAGAACCTGAACAGCAGCGTATCTAAAATTTACAATGTCTCACCGTTAGGAATGGCATTTCAGATTGATATTAGACGTATACGTATGCAACCGCACAGAAACAAAAATATCTTATGCCTGCGTATCAGCAAATTTGCAAATAAATTAGCAAGTCAGTAAGTACGTTAAATAAGTAAATAAACAGGCAAATGTGCATGAAAGTAACGAGAAAAGATAACCTCTTAAATTCATGTCCATATCGTGTCATGAATGTATACTGAAAACGTAAAGAGCTCCATCTAACAAAACTAAAATTGTGGTAGAAAAGACCTGGGCCACCACCCAGTAAGATAAATGCATTTCTTTAAGCAGCCTCTGAGCTTCTGAAGTTCTGTACCTCTATCTACTGAAACAAAAGGACTCTACTTCTGATCCCATGATTACACATATACTTGCTTTCTTACGAACTTAACAACTTGCTTGTTCACTCATCAGTATATTTACATACTTGCCTAGAGCGAAACATATATGCTATTAAAGCGTTGTTAACTACTGACAAGCAATACAGAAAGGAAAATTTTTAACTGATGTTCATAAACAAAAGGAAATTCGAAAATCTATAGGAAATGACAATACGCCTCATAAACACTGTCAGACCGTATAAACATCATAAGTTGTTCGTACATCGTGGGATGTCCAATAACGGCTTCACGGCATTTGAGCACCTACAGTACAGATGCACTTCATATAATTTTTCCGTTAGAGACACCTCGCGGTCATTATGAACGATATTTCAGGAGCAGGTACTACTGATAAATCTAGTACTGGAGGAATCATTCGTTATTTGATACACTCGGCCATACGAACAGCCAATGATGTCTATGCGGTAGCATATAAGGATCCGTAGACAAATACTACATTTCGTAGTGGCAGATTTCATATACTCTTACTTGAATCGTTTCCAAAGAAAGAAAATAATACTCAGGTTATTTTAACTACGTTCGTAAAGAAACAACGATATGAGCCTAAAAGTGTCTTTATAAATGAGCATCATAGTTGTTTGTTCTCGAAGGCTATTGACAGCGATATTTCATCATGAAACGCCTCTTAGTATTTCACCTGACTACGGCCAAATCTGCGAAGTTACCGAAATATTCGCTAAGGGACAGTCAGAAATTGTTGGGATTTTTTATGAAGAAAGTGCAATTTTGGAAGCAAATTTCTCATGCTTAAAACTTTCTGCATCAACCATTTTCAATCAGCTTCAAGAGAGTAGCGCGAACAAACGATGATTTAGGAAAGAACATCTTTTTACATGTTGGGCATCGTTATCTGGCTATCAGTGATATACAACTTCTTTCATACAACTGAGGAAAAATAATATCTAAAACGATTCAACTGAAAGAGATCACCTACAAAGCCAATCGCGAAGCAACGCTACCGTGTTAATTCAGCACTGCGTTATTTGTGCTGTTAGAAAAGAAATGCAAGATGTCATTCATCGTTTAAATGGTTGAGGAGATCTGTCCCGGTTTCACACTCTTATTTTATCCTCAGATTTAAATAGGCTGCAAAATATTTCCATTATATGTAGAAATCTCGCATTCAAAAAGTACAGTCATTTGTATATTCATTTGAACTTACAGATTTATGCTTCGATGAATATTACGTTGTAATTCCTAATATATATCGGATCTATACAGGAAGAATGCATCGCCCCCTTGCTTCAAGTCGCCTAGGGGGACCACTCGAGAGAAATAGAAAGGAAAGTTTATCACCGGTGGCATGCCGGTCTTGCTTCACTTTCATGAATGGGCCATTCTGGCGCGTTTCTTTTCGTGAAATTTATGGTACGTTTCTATGCCATCTACCAGGACTGCCTTTTAAAGGCAGAGTCTACAGTCATTTGGCAAGCGTAACGTGTAGACTCCTGTTTCTTTCCCATAGAGTGGTATTCATTTATCGTCCTCGAAATGAAGAAGGACGAGTGACCCTGACGGCAACCTGAACTTGGGACTATCGATTCTGAGTTCTACGCTTACCGACCAAGCAACCCGGTTTGAAACAACGTATCGTGAATTCCTTCCTCAAGTTCCTTCAAGGGAACTCGTTCATGAGGCCTCTTGTTCAGAATCGAACTCGGCACTTCCGGAATTTGAGGCAGGCCTCTTAAGCAATTGTACAAACATGCCTGCTTGCCAAAAGGCCACTCATCAAAATTACAATAAATTAATTCAATACATCTATTACAATGCTGATAGGAAAATTAGTTACCTTCCAGATGTAAAGTTGTAAAAATTATGCGTGCCCGTATAGTAGGCAAGAAGATGATTAACTTTCTTCAGCTGCTCTCCTAAAGTCGAAGAAACAAAGCAGTAGACGTATTCGCTTGAAAACACTAGCAAAAAAGCACTTACCACTGATTCGGAAGGTGTCCATTGTCGCCTGAAATAGTCTACTCAAAAATCGTAAATGACGACCGCAAAATTTACCTGCACGTCTTCGGAAGGAGTGAAGGCTATGCTCGGCAGAGTGTAAATATAGGTTCTACAGAAACACCATTTTTTGGCGTCGAACGTTCGTGTTACCCGCATCATGTCTAAATGACACATTAGGCTGAAACAAAACGAAACTGGCTTAAATAAATCTTAAAGATTAGCTGAACTGTAAACAGCACCGAATCGCGCTTGGCACTGAGGTGTCTATCATAAAACACTCTACACTTAGGCAATTCAGGTCATACATATTTTACAAAGCATATTGTTCTAAACATTTCCTGAAACCCCTCTTCTTAATTTGCACGAGATGTTTCTTAACGACAGAGCAGAAAATTTATTCCACCTTCCTTGGTTGTGATCTGCTGAGAAACAGACTGTAAGTCGTTGACTTGTAAATCAAAGGGACTGCATCGAATTCTGGATTGATCACATCAGAATGGAGGAGGTGCACGTCCGCGCGGTCTGATGCGAGGGCACCTTGGGAGCGCGCTTCGCCTTAATACTCCTGAAACCTGGCTGACTATCCACTGTAATAATCAGCACAAACTGTAATCCTGATTTCGATTTCGACACGTAAATGGACAAGTCAAAATTAAAAGTGAGAAATTATATTGTACAAGAAAAAAATATCTGCGACTTTAACCTATCAATAAAAAAACCACACTGACAATGGCCAACAGAAAGACAAGCGGAACCGACAATTTTAAAAGAATCGAAAGCAGAACCTTTACCGCTATGATATCGGTGTCGGTTACACTTTTGTGGCTGAACGTCATTTGTGGCACCCTCGTTTTGTCGAGCTCATGGTGCCGGTCTGATCTCTGTTTCTATGCTATCAATGATAAGTGTCATATTTTGAAGGCTGTGCATATAATGTGCTAGCACAGCACGTCACTGCATGTTGTCTTTCATAGGAATTGGGAATCATTTATATACTTTTGAAAAATGAAACACAAGGGACCAGACAGAAACTCGAACTCAGGCTATTCTGCGTGTCATCGACTGAGCCATTTGTAAGCTTAGTCCAATCTTAACGAATAGTATGGCACGACTAGAAATGCGCAAAAGAATGACACTTAGTGTTGAGATTGACGTAGAGATGAATAAGCTTCGAAACCAACACCGAAACTATAAAACTAGCTTTGCTTAGTGCCCAAGGTACCAACATTATGAAGCTCATACCATATATCTCAGAGTGTTACGAAATGGGTCATATTAATATGGTAAAGATTCGTTTGACCTGTTCGTTACAAGCCATGACCTAATTAGAAACTGCTATATTCCTATTTCATAATAATACATGCTTAGTTTCAGAGTTTCCCTAATGAAAGTTTGTAAAATGCAGATCTAAAGGAAAGCACGCAGAGGAATTTCTCCCTTCCAGTGGTTGTGAATTCAGAGATGGCATGATGCAGAATAAGCGCGGTATATCTATCAGACATAGGAAAAAAGATATGCTTGAGCAGATCTTCCTTTATGGTATATGGTAAGAGAGCTTTGTCTGCTGCCAGGACGCCATTAACAGCTCTGTTTAGTTAGCTGCATCTGAAGCTGCAGCTGAACAAAATGGGCTCCATTAGTGCTTGTCTTAGCGAATAATTCTTGCACTGTTCATTACTCTGTATTCACTATTCATGATTGCTAAGAACAGACTGACGCCTGTAACATGGCGACATAGCATAGTGGAAAAAGTTCACCTATACATGGTGTCTAACCGTTTATTACTGAAACCCTTAAAAGTGATCTTCTGCGTATGTAAAATGACGCATTTCTTCATGTTATACTGGCCACTACTTTGGATAACGAACGTTTCTCACAATATGGAATTGAAGGTAAAAAGAAAAATTGCTTTTGTAAAGGCATTTATTAAGATAGCTAATTCTGAATACTGAGGTACTGTAGTTTTCAGTGAAGTCAATTTCTAAAATATCATAAGTACTTTTAACTAATACCATAGTTGCAAAAGAAAATGATTAAAATTATCATTATGCTCAACATGAGCCTACCCATGATCCGAATATCCTCAGGCAAAAATTCGTTCAGCTCGTTCACCGCTACGCTGCACTGCGCTTCGGTCAACGGCAGGAACATGGAACAAAGCTGCCTGACGGCCGACACTCCTTTGTCGGTGCGGGCAGCCCGCTGGAAACGGAACAATGACGGCTGATGCCGTTCATCTGTGGTAATTAGCTTTCGCTTCAGTAACGCGTCAAGCATCATCTTCTCGATCGTCGGAATGTCTTTGTTGCTAAACGCGAATTTCAAGACTTCCAGAAACTGCAAAGAACTCTGACAGAAAAGGTAACTTACACTTGCATGCCGTAGTATTTCGTTCCACAGTATGATATGAACATAACGAACTTCAACTTTTTCGGTATAGCGTTTAATTCAGCATTGCTGGTCTCGACCAACTGTGCATTCTAAAAGGTAAATTATACCGTTGTTACAATCATAGCAACCAAATAATCAAAACCCCACGATTTCAAATACAAACATCACAGATGAGTATTTTTTAGCCTTGCTGAATTCGCAAAACATCCTAATGTTAGGTAAATGTCAATGTTAGATATCCCCGGTTGTAAACCGCATCTTCTCGAGATAGAGAGATCGCCGTTGCAACGGCTTTGATAAGTGATCAGGCTACCTTCTGTGTTCAGATGTATGGTCTAACCACAAAAGCAGCAGCAGCAATAACAGCATTATCCATGAAGCAGGTAGGCCAAACGACCATCTCCCGTATTCTTAAGCAGTTTTACCCGACGAGTAAAAAGCGTTAATATTTCACGTCGTATAAAACGCAACCATCTGTGTTGTATATTCTGAATGTTACTCAAAGTCACTCGTACAAGGCCATAAGATTTCAAGGAAGAAAACTGAATTCAAATGAAAATGCTAAGACATAATTTCATAACACCGGTTCCCTTAGTAATGCCAGATAAAAGGCAGCCAAGAAATAGGTAGAAAACCAGGTGGCTCGGTTGCAGTGAAATCAGGCGCCACCACATCTCAAAATCCTGACCGTCAGACTAGCAGAATACAGAGGTCGATGTGAAACCAAAAAATAAGAGGATACGAAAACGAAAGAGTGATTCTTTATTAAAAAGTAAGTAATCAAAAATGAGTCTTTTAAAACACGGGTTGATCAACGGTTACATGATGCTGTAATGCGTCAGCAATGAGATTTGCTAACCACATCAGGTACAAGCTATGAGTTACACTGTTCGGTTGATAAAGGAGAATCGCAGCTATTTCAACTGCCAGATCCGCATTAAGATCGTTGCGTCAATGTGCTATGATCGCTCAGGATGGTGATGTTGAATCGTTCAAAACCTAGCCGGTCTACCAACCTGGATAAACTGTTGATTCCACATGTCTCATGATTTGCATCTGCACTGCCGGCAGAAAGGCGATATTCTGGCTCCATCGCAAATGAGTACAACTACGCCGCGGCTACAGTATGCAAAAATGTGTCTTGCCACGTCGACAGAAAGGCACTTCTGTACAGCTCGATTGTGGCAGTGGTAGGAGGTAGTCCAGTAACTTCCGAAAAGCTATTGGGAACGAAATCATGCCACTTAATGTTGAGGAATCGCTTGACTCCGCGCATGCCATGGAATTCTTGGAGACTATTCATGTTCACCTTCACTAGATACAATGGTCTCACGGTATTGTTTTAAAGTCATTTTTATCTATACTCTACGGCATAAAGTGAAGGACTTCAACTTATGATTTCAGCGAAATGGCAAATACGACACAACGAGTTTCAACCTCTTTCACGCCTTCTTCAGCAGCAACACTCCTAAGCAACTGCATATCTGTCGATAACATGCCTTCACCGTTCGGTTTAGGCATCCAGGATAGCAAATTCCGTGCCTGAGTACCAAAAGAAGGATCCAATGAGACATGATGCTATGCCTTTGCTCACAGTTCTGTCAAACTATGAGATTCATCGGTACCTGAAGCAAAGACTCGACGTAATATAATTCTGTTGATCTTCCTCATTCGCTGTTGTACAGTACAAACGAATCAATCAAATGTTGTCCAACGAACCTTGTTTAGACAGTACACTCCCAGCAGGATCTGCATCTTCAAGTCGTGCATAACGTTCTATACAGTTATTTCTCTAGATCGTAGGATAATGTACTGGCCGTTTCCAGTTGCTCATCCTTAATTCCATTGTCAGGATATCTCGTAGAAAAGGAATTAATAGCTAATAAAGAAAATAAACTCCAGACTCGAACCAAAGCCTTTAGTCCGGCAGGCACAACAGCAAAACAGTTATGCTGCTTTTTCAAACTGCAAGGCACGTGCGCAATTTCGCTCAATGAGTTACCATTACCAAACTGGCATTAGCGCTGAAAGTGCAAAAGTTGCAATAAACCATGGGCTGCAACAAATCAGAAGCTGAAAGACATGAGGATGATGAGACCAGTGGTCACGGTTCAGATATGACAGATCATATGTGAGTATTAAATTTATGCGAATACAGACCGAGCGTTGTCGATGGCTGAATTGTACGGCTTGATCACGATAGAAGTACACGTTGAATAATGCCTTGGCGATAAGTGACTACAGATCGGTTTCGGATATTTAGAAACAGCGCAAATGAGCTAGTCCAAAGTTACGAAAAGAACCCCCCCTATGATCCAGTAATCGTGATTCGTTGTTGATGCGTATCCTGAAAGTTTACATTGAGCGCAATGTATTCACGAGTCCAACGTAACCCAAGCTTACCTGGAATCCTACCTGGATAGGGGAACATCAACTTCTGCATATAACTAATAGAGACCAAGCCACAGGTGAAATGCACCTTTACCCATGAAACCAGGACGGCGAGCTGCTACAATATTATAGTAAATTCTAATATGTTTTCAGGCATTAAAACACATTATTCAACGATTAGTTTTGTTTAGCTGAAGCCCACCCAGTGAAGTCTTTCGACATTGTACCTTAACGAGTCAAGGGGCTCAAAGTATCGGAGTACAATTAAATAAAATTTGAAACAAATAGCAAACGTCGTCGTTGTCGGTCCCAAGCCCGGATGAGAAAGGAGAATAGGTCGGGACAGTGAAACTTAGCCACTTACCCTTCATGCCATTACCGTAATCGAAAAACAAGCAGCGAAATCGATGAGAAAAAATGAAACAATCTGTGGCCTAATCCAGGTCGAAGGTTAAACTGAATCACTTTCAACTGTGAGTGTGAAGCTCTATCAACTAAGCGGCTATGGTCAGCCGTAGGGTAGGCTTTGTGTGGACTTCACGACAGTCTCAGAGTAAACTTGTGATGTCACTGAGTCACGGGTTTTTGCCCTACTGATAATTCTTCCGGTAGTCCGGTATTAACATAGCATAGCAGAAATTTGTCGATCGCAAATGCTGTTTGACAGCGAAGTTGAAACAATGGCAGCTGTGATCGATAATCACCAGCAACAGGGACTGCCTACCCGAAGAAGGCATGTGAAGTGCTCGAGGTAATCATCCCAGTTAGTTTACACTGATCCCCCAGGAAATTACATACTACATGAGGTCACACATTGCATGTGAAATTCCTGCACGATTATCATTACATCAGAAGATGAGGAGTACTCTCAATGTAGTTTCGGCAAAAGTGAACATTGCACTCACTCTGACATTTCGAATCCTGCGACTAATTTCCATGACTTCTATAGAGCATATGGAAAGAAATAGCAATTTTAAAATTGTAGCATTAAGTTTTATGCATTGCTTTAAATTATCTGTAGGGTAGATAATATTCATCATGTTTATCGTGTCCGATGACAGCCTCTTTCACTAATAACTATTAAGCTGCTCAAGCTAATAAACCACTGACTGATTCAATCAGATGCACGCACTAAAAGAACGGTGAATCTTACCAGTTTTGGACGCTTTGTATCACTATCCTCAGCACCTGCGGAAGTACGCTTTGCTGGATTTTGAAGCACATCCACAGAGACGGCAGGTTCCATTTCGATGCCAAAAAACTTCGGCAAAACGCTTCGTAAGAAACGGCGGAAACTCATAAATCAGCTACGGTGCAAGTAGCTGACAACGAGAAGCAAGTGATCTAAATGAGGTGGAAGTTAGTTTCGTTAACAGAAACACATAGGACTACAAAAATTTCGCTAATCAATGAAGTGATAAATTAGAGATTATGCAAATGATATACTTTTGTCATACAACCGAAAAAAGTGCCAAATGCAAATTTAACATTATAATGAATGACCATATAACATAAACTACACACATCTATAACTCTTTCTACCGCCCAACATAAAACAAAAAACAAGGTCAGAAAACGACTGAAAAACTAATGTACAAACAAGAACACTGCAAAAAAGCCACAGACAACAAAAAAGAATTATTTCAGACACACGTCGCGGTCAAGCGGCTATACGAAAGGTACCACTCAAGTAATATAATTGAGAATATGTCCAAACACATTGTAATAATAGAAGAAAGTCAGAAAAAAAAAGAAATAATAAACTGTAAAATAATAAACCGTAATAAAATGTCTGACAGAAAATTAGCGGAAATGGTAAATATTTCTTTACCAGAAACTACCCTGAAGAAAATATGAGAAATCTTGCTGGTCATTTGACAATGAAATCAACGAGGACTTTAAACGACCTTTGCCTTAAAAAGATATCGGCCACTGCCAGACCCAAATCCGGATCAGAAAGGACGAGGGTTGGAGATTATGGCGAGGTCTCCGTAAAATTTAGCCATCTTCCCCTCATGATACTGACGTTATCGAAACATATTCCGGGTCGGTCTTCGCCTGAGTTACTAAGAGCAGAGTAGGCTGTTAAGGGATTGACGTAGCTGCGAAGTCAGCGATGAGAACTTGCTCATTGCCTTGTAGCAGAATATGTCGTAGTAGGACAACAACTGCCGAAGATCAACGAAACGATGAAGATACCAGTTAGCAACGGAATCACTACCC